GTCATATTAATTTTAATTGAATTTTTGAATTTTTCCGTCGATTGATTGGACCGAAGTGCTCGGTCCTGCTCAATAACTCTGATACATTTCGACTGAAAGTCAGGACTTAGAATGGGCTTTGGATATTTAACCGTTTTGGTTTTCTCAATTATCACCATCCTTAAAAGCTTACAAGTTAGTTATGTGAAGAAATGGCCTAGAAAATCGTCCCCATCTGAGTTTTGCACGAATAAGTATTGTCATTTTCATCCGGTATGTGCCCAAATATTTTATCCTAGAAAAAAATTAGGCTTGAAGAAATTCGAAGTCCAAAAAATCGGGAGGTGGAGCTATTTCATCGATATATCTGGTATCGATATAATTTATTATTATTATTCCCTTGGGTTTCGAAAGGGACATACGGCACATCTGCGTTCTCTGCAGTCAGTCCTCTTTAGCTCTGCGATTGACTATAAGCTTGCACACACACACAATCACCTTCATGTCACCTTAAGACGTCCGTTCCGCCGTTTTACAATCGAGTGATGGACTGGCCCGCGACGTCATCCGACGGTTTTCTCAGCGTTTGTCCAATTTATAGCCACTTTCTCCGGCATTTTGGTTGAGCAATAGGCTCTAAGGTTGGTTAGTTCCCAGAGTTCCTTGAGGCCAGTTTTTACTGGAAGGCTATTTAATCTTCAGTATAGAGCTGGTAAAGGCAGCTGTTTATGAAAGTCTGAAGCCTATTCGAAATGCTTTTCGTGAAACACCTGTCAAGTTTCTCGCCCATATAAATAAGAAGAGATCGGTCTGGCATTGGTGCTGAACATCTGAATTTTGTTGTTTATGGCGAGTGCAGACAATTTCCAAAGTGATTTCAAAGTGATGAACGTTTGCACTACCTTTTCGATATTCACTGATTCTGACGTCTTCATCCTTTTCGACTACCTGTGGTTGAAACCATGCTTCCTAGCCAGATAGGTGAAGTAAGTAACCTCTGTCAAATCTCTTCCACTGACAGTGGTGCTGGTTGTTGTCACTGTTGATTAACTATCCTCATCTCTGCTTCCTCTATGTTAACCTGGAGTCCTGCATTCGCAGCTGGCATTTTCAACCATTTTGTTGGCTTGTTGGCCTGCAATTCTTCGAGTTTGCGTGACATTAAACATAAGTGATCTGAGAAATCCAGACCTTCTACACTCGTGTTATCGGTCCAACATGGTATTCCTGTCTTCTTGTCACCCACTCACTGTCTGACGCATAATCCAGTCCACCATAATTAGGAATATCATCGGTGATAGT